CCCCAAAACCCCAAAACCCCAAAACCCCAAAACCCCAAAACCCCAAAACCCCAGTTGGTGGGGCCACTGTTGAAAAGAAGAATAATTTGTTTGTGTTAATATTAAAAACAAAATGGAACTGTGCACAAGAGGCTGTGCGGAGAACTGTGGACATGACGCCCTGTACTATATTACTTCCCAAGATAAATATTGCTGTGAATTCCATTATATCCACAATGATTCAGGTTAGTATTTTTGAAGTGTCAGCTTCTAATCTCATTGAAAATGATATGGCATTCTAATCATTTAATTACCTCATTGTTTTAGGTCATAAGACTGAGCTCAGTACATTCTCCATCTCTTCAGATGAAGTCCTGACTAAGCTTCAGACGATTGATAAGGGACTTCAAAGGTTCTTGAACTTCATCAAGATGAAATATACAGGAGACAAGAAAGAGAAAAGCTTGGCTGCTTATTTTAAGCTGTTTCAAAAACTCGAAGATCTTCTGGCTAAGATATCTGAAGCTCAGGCTGGCCAACTTCCGAGCAAGCTCGATAGTTTTAGCAAAGAAGCAGACCATCTCCGAGCCACCATCGATAAAGATCCTTGATTCAGCCGCTTTCTCATTGACCATGCTTGGTATGCTGCAAGCCAGAGAGTTTCGAAAGAGTTTGATGAACGTTCTAATTTATATGATGACTCCCAATTAGGCTTTACTCCTTGACTTGATGAGGCTGAGAACTGAGGAAACTCAACCTCTGCTGAAGGACATTTTGATACTTTAGAGACCACAAGTCAAGGCTTGGGTGGACAGATGGATGACTAAGATGTGTCTGAAAGTTTGGAGTTAAAGAAAAAGGAAGGGTTTGAAAAGAAAGAATAAGTCAGGGCATAAACATGCAAGATAAATGAGGTATACTTGGATGAAGTAGCCCATAAAAATATCTTAACTCAAACTCAACGAATTTTGAAACTAATCAAATCTTCACCTTGTCTTTCCTCTAATCATCTGCAGCCATATTAGGACTAAGATCTTTCAATATAGCCATCCAGCCACGGGGTTTTGGGGTTTTGGGGTTTTGGGGTTTTGGGG